AAATAAAGGTGTTTCTGTAAGCAGCTGAACAATGGTTGTACTCACGCGGACACTCAATCAACTGAGGGATTCTAGTGGAGTCTCCTCCGCTGTTGTTGACCAGACAGTTGTCTGACAGAAACACAGAGAGCCACGATCAGAACCGCAGCTGAAACCTTTCATCTCAATGATTCTGCTCGGCCACACCACACCGAACTGGACCTTGGCTCGAAAAGTCTTTTCTTTGAAGCAGGGCTATTTGTCTTTTTTTGAAAGATAAGTTTAATAAATGTGACTTCCTTTAAACAGGCAGGCTGATCACCAAACACGCCTCTCATCAGTTGATTTTGTTTTTTTCTTTAACGAAACAAATTCTCCTCGTCTCTTTCCTCATTTTCATGGTTTTATGAGCAGAATTTTTAAAAAGCAAGTGTCCAGTTCAGAATGGGTTTTAAATACTCAGCTGTAATTAAAGTTTTAGTCGAGTCAAGCCTCAGTGAAGACATCACGGCGAAGAAAACATACAGAAACAAGCGGTTAAAGCATAGCAGTGTTGATGGATTACAAACAGGAACCATTAGAACAGACAGACGGGGCAGGAATTAAAGGTAAACAATCTAAAATAAAACGTTAAAAACATCAGCAGGACGCAGACGAGCAGGGAGACGATAAACCCAGAACCAGCCGAGCTAAAGCAAGGCTGGACCTTTACTAACAAATCAACTGGTTTATCCAAGGATTATTGTGTGTCTGCAGCTGCACACACTAAAACTTAAAGTATTTGATCCACATAAAGAATCCCAAATGACTGTAAACAAAATCCATCTTGGAAAATTTTATACAATCAGCTTCTAAGGTWTTATTAAAAAAAAGTTAATTAAGCCTTTAATAAACATCTGGTTTGACTTTAAATGAAGGAAAAGACATTTAAAAGGTGGAAAAAAGACAAGAAAACATTTCAATAAAGAGATGAAAAGGAAATATCTGCAATAAATAAATGAATTTTACTAATCAAAAGACTCTGAATTGTTTTAATCTAGCATTTCCTGTAAGTTGTTCCTTCTTTGTGGCCATGTGAGAATTCATATGAATGTGTTTAGTTTGGATAATTAAACTACCATCAGTATCTCGAGCTCCACCAACTGCCCCATCATCAGTATCTGAGTCCCTCTCGTCCCGGTCCTGGCTCTCAGGTGTCTGCAGGTTCTGTTTGTCTTCGACAGGGTCCTCTACCGGTCCGAGGGAGACAATGTCCACATCTGCCGTGTGACCAGATCAGACATACATGTAGGACTTTGTCTGCAGTTCAGCAGCCAGATGCATGCAGAGAACGGTCTAAATGAGTGGCTGCTGTGGGAAAGTGTGCAGTGAAACCTGCAGAGTGATCAATCACCACCAGTGACCAAAAAGACTTGTTTGTTTTCTATCCCCAGAGAAGAAAAGAAATAAAACAAAGAAGTGGACAGTTTGGAAACAACCCAGATTATTCAACACGACCAGTTAAGATCTGCCAACACGACCTGCCTCCGACACAAACACACCCTGCAGACGCACAAATTAATGCTACGTTTACAGAAAACACTTTCTTACAACTCATCAAACAACCTCAGGAGCTTTGATATAGTTTCTATAAATTACAACTATTATAACGAGTAAGCATAATGAGCAGCTGATGTAAGACTAACAAATAAATCCTGTATCTGCTTTTTTTTTCTGCACATCGATTTTTTTTTTTTTTTTTTTTGATACTGGAGTTGTTTTC